ATATTTTAAGAAGTAATTGCAGGGTTAAACTTACACTTTTAACAAAGTTTGTTTTAAATTTTCAAATACCTTTATGAAAATTATTTGTTTCCCCGTTGAAAAAGGGATATTTGTTATGATTGCAACCTATTATATTTTTTTGTCTCAGACACGTTAAATTCAAACTGCTTGAAAATCATGACGTGTAGACATGAAATATATTTGATATATATAAGTTCAATTATTCTGAAAAAATGTTTTTAAGGTTTTGTGCAGTTTTTGCAGATTCTGACGTTATAAGGCACTTAAAATATTACTTTCTCGGGCAATACTTCCCCCAATACATAGAACTGCATGATTTCAAACGTAGAGTGTAAATATATATATATATAATAAAAAATAGACGTAAAAACAGACTGTCGTCACCCCATTGTACATTTATATATATAGATATATATATTATAATAACAAATAGGACCTGCATATCAAACATCTCTCCCAAACTAACAACCATAACTAGTTTAAGAATTGGAGTGGCGTGCTGAAAGTTTTGTTTTTTCTTTTTAAATAGAAAGAGGCTCACTCGAATTGCTACTGTGCTCAACACGCGAAGGCTCGGAATAAAAGCTCCTGCTAGTGTTCAAAATCACACAAAAATACATCGTAAACAGTCAAAACAGGAAATGAAACTAACAACACCAAAACAAAAAACAAAAACTTGAAAATGGCTAACGAAGTAGCCGAAAGCTCCTGGGACAATACACAGTATGGAGAGTTTTTGAATGCTTTCACTCCCACCAAAATGGAAAATGTAAGAACATTAAAAAAACTAAATAAAACATTAATAATAGTTTTCTTGTTCGTCTAATTTAACGACGGATCTTTAAAAGAAAGGTTGCTCTATATATATATATATATATATATATATATATATATATATATATATATATATATATATATATAATTTATTCGAAAACATAAATAAAATTCTAATAACCAAAAATACTATTCTTAAAAGAGTGCTCGATACAGATTAGAGGAAATGTAATTTATTCGAAAATTATAAAATAAATCTTATATACAATCATTGCAAAATAGCCATTTTGTTTCAACACTTCAGTTGTCTTATCAAGTGATGGTGTTGAATGCAGAATAAAGGTTAAAAGTTTCAAATCAACCAAACACCCGTCGCTCAAAATACAAGAATTCTTATAAGAATTCAAAAAAAACTTGACAACGAACTTTGGTTATAATAATTAATGCTCTAATGTTAGGGTTAAACTAAAATAGGAATCATTCTAACTAATTAATAATACATTTTAATATAAAAATGATAATTAAAAATTTCCAATTTTTAATCTATGTGTTAAGTTTAAAATATTATAAACTTAAATTAAAAGAAAAAACCGAGGAAAAATACATATGCTTTTTTATTTATTTTGTTTTAATTAAAAGGCCAAAAATTTAGTTAGAATAAACATTAAAATCTAATATTGATGCAGAGTTTCGTTAGAGCTTAGATACATTTGAAGTGGTGATATGATCAGGGGAGGGTGAAATCTTGCAAAAGACAATACATACACAATCAGATTATAATACGCAAACACGGAGACATATTTACGACGCTTAGCATCATATACTTTTATTTTGATTGGTCATTGCAGCATTTCCTCTAGCGACGGGTGTTTGGTCGATTTGAACCTTTTAAAGCCTTTATTCGACATTCAATACCATCACTTGATAAGACACCAAAAGTGCTGAAACAAAATGGCTATTTGTGTAGTGATTTTATAATAGATTTATGTTATAATTTTCGAATAAATAATTGGATTTGCTCTACTCTGTATTGAGCATTCTTTTATGAATATTATTTTTTGTTATTGGAATTTATTTCGCATACACCAATCCTACACTTAGATATATATATATATATATATATATATATATATATATATATATATATATATTTTTTTATTATAATAGATTACAATAAAAACATGTTGCATCGCTACTCAAAAACTTTCCTGTTTCGGAACTATAACTGTCCCCCATCGGGTTGTGGCCGATAACATCTAATACCCATTACATCTATTATATGTTGTCATCCATCGTCCGATGAGGGACAATTACAGTTCCGAAACATGAACTTTTTTGTCTTAGCGATGTAAAATGTTTTTATTGTAATCAATTATAATAAAAAATATTTTAATAATATTTTGCTCTACTTTGTATTGAGCGCCTTTTTAAAAAGAAAATTCTAAGAACTGTGGATTCTTACACCATCTGTTCTTTCTCTTTCTTAATATATACATATATATATATATATATATATATATCAAAAATCGATAGAGTCTAAGAAAACACGTCGACTTAATCAAATTCAACACGTTAAAAGAATTTATAGAATGTGCTCAATAAGAAAAATAAAGCGACAATAATTAACAGATGAATAAAAGTTCAAAGGACTTATCTTTTTTATCATAAACTATTTGCCAGTTTTAGATAATTTATCTAACCATGACAAACAGTTCATATACGAAATTTAAGTCGGTCGAAAAAATGAACATTTTTCTACTCTTAACTATATATTTTGGGATAATATGAGTAACAACATTTGATTCATACAAATCTGGTTTGTTCCCAACAGAAGTTTTGTCCTATGGATTTTTTCATTTGCATTTTTTTGTTTTTGTTTCTATATTTCCGACTCTTTTCCTGGTTTCCGGTGCAAATTTCAATCCAAATTATCCAATTTCCGGTTAGTTTTGTCTTTCATAAACTAAGATTTTTTTTTGCTTTTCCTCTTTGGATTTGTGGTCCTTGTCCTGTTATCCATTCACTCATAATTAGTTTAATTTCTATTTCCTATTGTATCACTTCTATCAATATGTTACGTGGTGTTAAACTTTCCGATCCTTTTCTCCTGTTTCAGAAATTTTAGTTGTATTTATTCCTGATTATTAGCTGAAGTCATGTTACACATTCCTCGCCGCTCACATTGTTTTATTCTCGACGTTCGGCAGTAATACCACATCTCGGTCTCGTCAATATTCTTCAATTGTTGGGAAATATTCTAGATTTTATTGTCATATTGGTGATATTATATTACATAGCAGTCAATAAGCGTATTGTAAGCGTATTCTCCTATCATCTAATACTTCGTTTGCTTTCTTGAAGGCATTATGGGATTTAAAGCTGACATGTTGGTGTCTATTTTAGGTGTGTGTCCGTGTTCATATGTAAACAATTAAAGACAAAGCTTACAAAAACTAAAAAAAAAAAATGAAAGAAAAAAAAGAAGCAAAAATGTATCTTGCCAATGACCATTTTCTTTTTGGTCCAGAAGCTAGCATGAAGAACTATTCGCATTGCTATAATGGTCAAGCTCAAGTAGGCTTGTGCAAAATTTGGTCCAACCAATGAAAACTTTACAATTACTTCATCATTGAAGTTTTAAGCAGGATTATAATGCTATGTCCGTTTTCTTTTTCTTGGTCCAAAAGTTTGGGTAAGTAATAATAAGTTTCGTTGTATTGGTCAACCTTAAGTAAGCCTTGCGCAGAGTTAAAGAACCAAATAAAAGTATATATTTATTTCTTCGTTGGAGGTTTAATTGTGTTTATAATGGACAAGCAAAAGTCAGTATTGCCCTGAGTTGGAAAGACCAAAGAAAAGGTTGATTTAATTCATAGGTGAAATTTTGAAAGACACATGCGAACAACATACGTTGGAAAGCGGAAAGATTGTTCACTCGTCAGTGTACAAGGTAACCGAATGTTCCCAGCCAGGACGTAATTTTCACGTGCTACATCTTGGAGCAACGAGGAGAAAGAAAATGAGGAAGGAAATGTATTTTATTTTTATATAATTAAACAGCGCCACCTAACGATGTCTGACGAAGCCAAATGGAGTAATAAAATTTGAGCTTTCTTTATTAATAGCATCATGGGTAAATGAATTTATTTTTCGTTTTTTATTCATTATCATTATCCTATTTTATTGTATTTTCCTACAGTATTTTTCATATTTCTATGCGTCTTCTGATTTTTGTTTCAAATTAGCCCGTTATCATATAGTCAGTTAATTATAATACCTGCTTCATTTTACCAATACGTAGCTCCCACTATCGGCTGTCTCCTTTGCTGAAAACCATGTTGTTTTCACCGGTGGCTCTGATATCATTCTCGTGTAAAATAAGCTTCGCGAATATTTCCAGTATCTCTTTGTGTTGCCCACTTCAAACTCTTTCATATAATATATTCAACATCTGCCTATATTTCTGAGATGAGGTATTATGTACATTATTTACATTATTCGGACTATTGTCTATTACTAGAAATAAATTTTTGAAGAAAAAAGAAAAAAAAACATTACCAGCTATACGTTTTTGGAAAAAATAATATTACCAGCGATACGTTTTTGGAAAAATAATATTACCATTTATAAGTTTTTTGAAAAAGTAATATTACCAGCTATACGTTTTCGGAAAAATAATATTAATAGCTATACATTTTTTCAGGAAAAATATTAACAGAAATAGATTTTTGACAAAACAAAAATATTACCAGGAAAAAAAAGTTGTCGGCATTAAATGACCCATTGAGATTGATATGCCGTAAAACAAAACAAAACAAAACCTATCTATCTCAGTCTGTTCATATCTATCTATATATCTGTCTATGTATCTATATATCTATCTCTGTTCATATCTATATTTATTATATACATGTTAATGTCTACAATATAAATATATTTCTTCTTATAATATATTTTCGAAAAAACTGAAGGCAATGTAATTGAAAAAGAAGAAAATAAATTATTTTATTTTTCGAAAACTATATTAAATATGTTGAATATAACATATATAAAAACAAAATAAAATCATTCAAAGTTTTTTTTTTATATAAGTGTATATTCCGTTCTTTTTCGTTTTAAGATTATTTCATTTTTTTTACTAGTTTAAAAGTGCAAAACTGGGTCCAATATTGATTTTCGGATTTTAAGAGTATTGACGGATTTTGATGTTTCTCACAGGGATTAGTGCTTCTATCATTAACCCATTTTCATATGTATCTTTTAAAATCATTAAAAGAATTTATTCTCTTGCCTATTTCTACTGTTTCTTTTTCCTTATCCGTTGGCATATTTTGAGTAAAGACATGGCCTCGATTCTCTCTCTGTTCATGCGTGAGATTATTTTTGCTTCATTTTCCCTCAATTCAAATATTTCTCTTTTTTAATTACTCACAGATTCTTCCTACGACTATCTATCTATCTATCTATCTATCTATCTATCTATCTATCTATCTATCTATCTATCTATCTATCTCATAGGGCTAATCTAGTTGGTAACTACCTACCTAACGGTTGCCTGTGAAATAAGTGACCAATTTTAACTGCTTTTGTATTTAAAACACGAAAAAGTTTTGATATGTTCGAAAATATACCAACCCAACTCAATGATTTTATTTTAAATAATACATTTTAAGAGTCCTTTAGAACTCTAAAATCTCTCTCCCTCCCTATCTATCTATCTATCTATCTATCTATCTATCTATCTATCTATCTATCTATCTATCTATCTATCTGGGATCTTTATGTAGCGAACTAGGTCAATCTTTTAATATCTATCTATCTATCTATCTATCTATCTATCTATCTATCTATCTATCTATCTTGTAGGTACCCACCTTCCTAAAGGGTGCTTGAGAAATAAGCAGCCAATTTTATCTGTAGTCTCAAGTACAAAAACTGATATTTTATTTGAAAAGCCAAAACGTTATATCTATCTATCTATCTATCTATCTATCTATCTATCTATCTATCTATAAAAAATGATGACATTTTTATGAAGGTGTGCCAAAATTGTTCACTGGAACAGGTAATTATTAGCATAGAATTAAAATTATCCATTCGAATGAAAACACATCATAATAAAAATAATTGATTTATTGCCATTGTCCAGTTGCGTCTCCCGTAGCGATCATCTCTGTATAAATGGGGCTCGTTAATCCGATTCAGATTTCATGCTGCGTCTGTTGTGATCACTTCTCTATAATATTCTTGGGAATAACAAGAATTCATATTTTCTATCACTGTCCATATGGGAAAAATAGCAGAGTGGCCAGATCTTAGTTGTGCTATTGGTTAAAAGAAGGACGCTTCTTAATTCAACAAGACATATTAGCAATGGCTTTCTTACGATCTTTCATGTAGAGCCACAAAGTCAAAAAAGAGGTTGAGCAAGACCTTCATTCATATACGCCTGAAATTATTTTTTTTGAATTGCACGATAACGCTCTTCGAGTGTAAAATGATTTCATTGTTTTTCAGTTTAAAATGTTCAAAGCTTATTTTTATGATTTTAAATAAAACGCCATGTACGTGTAAAAATAAAACGTTTGTATTCAAGATTAACCATGCAGAAAACATAACCAATGCTATTTCAAAGTTACATTACATGTTTCGGAAATGTTATTCCCTTCATCAGTAAAATATTTACATTGATTTGATTGTTACGTTCAAATGGACACCGTAATATAGATAAAATTCTTAGAAAGATAATTCCGTAATTCAACATTCTTAGAGAGAAAACGAAAAGACAAATGAATAAAATAAAAATATATGTAACGAGGATTTGGTTTACAATTATGTCGTATCAATCATTAATATGAATTCAGGTCATTATTTAGAGACGTAAGAGGGTACAAGAAAAGATAAAAAAACTGACAGGTTTTTCCATTAAATTATCGACTCCTCTATATTTTTACCGTTCTTTCCTTCCTTCTTTTTTCTTTCTCTCTTTCTTTCACTGAAACCGAACAATGTATTTTATCTGCTTTCCATGCGATCAAAACGAGGAATCGTCTATTATTTATAAGGTATTGAAAGGTATAATGGGAGGGTTAACTAACGAAGGGAGGGAGGGACAAGTACATTTATAAGAGGATATTTCGTAATGTCCTTTCTTTCTTTCTTTCTTTCTTTCTTTCTTTCTTTCTTTCTTTCTTTTTCTTTCTTTCTTTCTAGCTAATGGATGAACAAGAGAAGTTATATCATGGTAACCTTTTCTTATGGTACTTTTAAACTTACATTTGTAATATTATTAGGAAAGATATACGCGGCATTCTGTATATATATATATATATATATATATATATATATATATATATATATATATATATTTATATATATTTGGTTGGATAGATGTGAGTTTGTGACCCTGGGTTTCACGCTTTGGCGATCGTCAGGGTCACAAACTCACATCTATCCAAAAAATATGTTATCTCTATCTCTGATATTGAGCGCTTTCTAATAAGCACCCGCATATAATATATAAATAATTATACATACTTATATTTATTTATATTTATATACACTTTTCACACACACACACACACACACACACACACACACATATATATATATATATATATATATATATATATATATGCCTCTGAGGAGGTGAAAAGTTCTCGGTCAAACCCATCTAAAAAAATCTGACAAAGTTCCTAAATAACTGAATTGATTTTCAACAAAGATTTCTTGGGCAGGCGAAACCATTTACAATCTTCGTATCGGCAATAGTAATGGTGTTTTTAGACGTTTCTGTATAAGGAAATATTCAGAATTCATTGACCGAACAGTCAGCGTTACTTGCAATTGAAATGTAAAAAATGTTTCTCTTAGAATTATGTTTTAAGAAAAATAGTTTTCTCAAGTCTAATAATTGTTATCATTATTTCTGCGATTGATAGAGATTTCCTTCCTAACCTGTTTAAACTTATTTGGAAAAGTCAATATCTTTCTGATTATTTTCTTTACTAATTATACGTGCTATTCATTTTAATGCTTGCCGCTGTGGAAAGTCTTCAAGTAATATGCCATTTGTTATTTGATAAGGCTTGGGATTTTGTAACGCAAGTCCGTGAGATTCGATGAAGAATGGTCTTCGTTCTAATTCGCTCGGGGTTATTTGAAATCATTAATCCGAGAAAAAAGGTTGTGTGCATCTGAAAGATTAGACATTTCTGAACGAGCTGAACGTAATGCATGGTATCAATATGACAATCTAGTTGTTCGTTTTATTCAATATGAATAAAACGAACAACTAGATTGTCATATATAGCGGCTGTTGTAGGGAAACGCTTAACAAAATCGTCAAACAGATCGTTACTATTTTAATGAATTCTGTTTTTCCCAGGTACATTAAACCTATGAAATTCTTGTAAGAAAAGCTTTACACTACTGCATTTCTAATTATGAATACGGTATAGCCCTATATGATTGCGTTTGTAAAGTTATCGAAGTAATTTTTATTGAGAATACGAGTCTTAAAACTCTCACATACTCAGTAACTGTCAGCTTGTAGATGTGTGGCATTGGGCTTTTCTACGAAATGTGTTTCTACATTCTCCCTAGCCTGTAAGAGATTAACTACCTCACCCCTCTCGGGTTGCTGCTTATATATCTACTCTCTACAGTTTTTTTTTTTTACGTATGAACGTTCTAGGCGAAGTTATACCGTTTTCTCTGAAGATTTAGCGTAACACAGATGGCTAAATAGTGGTCCAATATGGATAAAACGTGAATTAGAATCAAACAGAATAGAATCACAAACAAATAGGAAACATTTATGAACTTAACATGTTTCGTTTTTTATGTAAGGTTCAGCAGAAAATGAAATATGCAGGAGAAAAGAGAAATTTAAATTATGTTTATGTGGGTAGATAAATAAAATGTCATCGATGTAACGGAAGTAATGTGTATCACCAGGAATGATATATTTAAAAGGCCAGATTCAAGAAATTCTAGAAATATGCATGCTAGAAATCCAGAGAGAGGACTTCCAATTGGTAAACCAAATTTTTGTTTACAATAAATATTATTATACTGGAAGAAACAATGTGAAGTGCATAGGATGCATAATTTGATGCATTATTTTTGTGTCGTTTGCTTTTCATTGCTTACGCCGACCTCACATGTATTTATTCTGTCAAGTAGAGTTTTTCTTCATAATCTTTTTGTATTTTGTATCACTAGTTGATCACTGCATGATTTGGTTGAAATTAATGTTAGAGTTTGAGCGTGGGTATTTTTATTTATGTGTGGTATGGAGGCTATTGTTGGGGATATTTGCTGTAAGAGTAAAAGAATTTAAGTTGCACCAGTTGTGGTTGTAAATAGACAGATATTAAATTCTTTATGTAGCGTATAGATAGAAATTACTGATATAATAAAGTGTGTTAAAAATAAGCTAAAAACTTTCTTGTTCTCATGCTATTTAAGTTTCGCGCAATTTATGGTTCCTTATTCTCTGAAGAAATTATGTATTTTATATTCTTAATGATGCATTATTAAAAATATAAAATATATCATATGTATATAATGTGTGTGTTTGTATATGTGCGAGTGTGTATGTGATTTAAATACATTATTATATCTTCCCAGAAATTTCTTTAAAATCTAGTTGTCCCTGTTTAATGGAATATGTAATGCGGTTTGAAATATTGATAAATCGAGCCATCAATCTCTTCTACCTTGAAGAACAATTTCGTTTCTGTTTGGTAAAAATCTGTGTGACTGCCCGGATTACATAATTTGTGAAATAAAATATTAATCGAGGCTGCAGGCTAACAACGATTGCAGCAACCAACGAATAATGTTTAGCCTTTGGCTTTAAATCACTGATTAAATACAAAACAACAATCTAATAAAGATATATAATTCATTAATTTGGAAAAAAAAAATAGAAAAAAAAGAAACTAAAATGGCGGAAACCTGAAGCAAATGCTAAACCAATTATTACATTATAAAAGAAAATGAAATCCCCGCTTCGAATTTGATTTTAATTTTACATTTGTTTACACTCAACGAAAAAAGAGACAGAAAAAAGAAAAGAAATCATCTTGTATTGTGAATAAACAAAAATGAATAGTTGTTCGTTTTTATGTAGAGGTATTGCGTGTACTCAATTATTAAAATGCATGAAGGTACAATTATTGTAAAAAGATGTCTCTTCTTCACCAAAGAATTTCTGATATGTTTGTTGCTGTCGCAATTATTGGTTGGTTCCTCGTTGAATATTGCTTGGATAGGATTTTTAAAAGCACGTTTCAATAAAATGATTACATATAAAACGTTTTCATCATTTGTCGTACATATTACTTCAGAAAACACATTTTAAATGAAAATGAACGGCGTGGACATCAAGTATTTTAAATAAAATATTGGTATGTTTATATTTTTGTCACTTCAGGACATTTACAATTATGGCCTCTACAACTTCTTACCTTTCGTAGCATAAAGTAGTACTTCTTATTACTCTTTCCTCTTAGTCCATATTCTGCTTTCAATTTATAAAAGCTCTATATTGTTGTTTCCTTAGGCGCCATCTTCTTACAGATTATCATGGAGGTGTTAAATCCTCTTTTTATATAAAAAAGGAAAATTGTTCTTAGAATCAGAAAAAAGTGAGTTAAAATGTTTGGGACACATAAAGTGTAAAATCGACATTGTGTGTTCCAGACCTTTGAATCGGATTCCTTCATTTTTCATTTTCTTTAAAAGTGCTTTGTTGCTCACATGTTTGTTCGGCCGATGACATTCTCAACCTCCTTCTGTTAACTCAATTTTCCTCTCCCTATGTGACGAGATTTTTGTGTATTTATTGTAAACTCTTATGCAATAATATATATATATATATATATATATATATATATATATATATATATATATATATATATGTATTTGGTTGGATAGATGTGAGTTTGTGACCCTGGGTTTCACCCTTTAGCGATCGTCAGACAAACTCTGTTAGCTCTATCTCTGA